AAACCCTGAACCCTAAACACTATGTGCTCTTCCTCAGACTTGAAGATGCCGCTGCCGACGAAGACGCCATCCACACCGAGCTGCATGCCTCGTGTGGTATAACAGTAAGATCCCCATATACCCCATATTCTACCTACTCAAGGGGGACTATAACCACAATATATACCCTATCATAATATAGTAGTTTCCATTTAAAACATCTCAAAACACAGCAGTACCGAAGACCCAGGCTTAAACGATACAGAAAGAGGAGTTGAAGGAGGATTTCAAAACTTGCTCATGCAGATCATACAGGCATCACTTACAAGGGTCTAGGAAACAAACCACGATAACGAGCGGGATGATGGCAAGTCTACTGTACTGCGTACAATATTAAAACGTACCTCCAAGCCCAGCCGCACTTTCCAGGCTCTACATAAGCTATAGTCCAAACTCCTAGTATCCCCCTTAGTATCCCCTATAATACTCTCCTATATAATCACGCGTATAACCCCCCTAACGGAGTGTAGACCACAGCTCACATGTTCCCCCAACACCGTCCCAAAGCGGGACTCTGCAAACCTTCGAATCGATTCCCTGAAGCCCCAGAGAGCTTAATTAAGGACTGTACCTGAAATTGTGTAAGCTAGTACCATTTAAGGCAGGTGTATTCCTTAATGAAGGGGTATTGGGCTCTCTGGGACCTTACTAGAACACCGATCGCACTGCTAAGCCGTTTTCAACAAATGGGTTAAGGGTTAAGGGGGTTACGACACCCATTCATTGCCTACGACCACCGTTCGTGTGCTACTTGCCAGAATTCGAGCCCGTCATGGTCCCACAGAGCATGTACTCCTCATTGAAAGGGGCCCAACAAAGACTGAGAAGTTTGAGAAACTCCTTCCCGGCAACCTAGACACCCTAAACCCTGAACCCTAAATCCTAAATCCCGAACCCTAAACCCCGAACCCTAAACCCCGAACCCTACATCCTGGCAACCTAGTGGCAGAGGGCGGCATCAGCAGGGGTGGCCACGCCACCCGCTGCGAAGTTCACCACCGGCAGCTTTCCAGTCTTCTTCACATGCTGCACCTGTTTTGGTATTTTATTTTGAAACCCACGGACTTTTACGCTTGTTTTTGGGTTTGAGGGTTTGAGGTTTAGGGTTTAGAGGGTTTTTAGGGGTTTTGGGTTGAGGTGCCCGGCGGTCTTGCGTCGTTCTGTAGGGATATATCATACAGTAAACACAGCCAATTTATGTGAGGATTGCAGACTGCTCAGAGTTTGGATTCGATTCTTGCTTACAACTTGTGGCAGCATCTCATGATCCTGTCAATTTTCCTGCTGGTGGCTACCTTTCCAATGGCCGGCGGTACTTGAGATAATTTAAGGATTTATAACCCACCCCAAAACAAGGTTCCCATGACTGCCATACGCCTGCTTTGAAGACCTTTACTTTCAACACATGCACGCTGTCCTTTTCAATCAGCCGGGGTCACCAAGACCTCCTTCTTACTACAGGGCAGCCATGCGGGACCCAAGCAAACGGATCGTCAGGGAATTTCTTTAAGGAGTTAAATGGCTTAAAAGGAATATTATAAGGATGTCAGGGTTTGGAGCTTGAAACCTCAAGGCAAACATGAGATCCCGGGAAGGATAGTCAGCCTGCTATCCATTGGAGAATCCTCGAGAAGAAACCGAACTGAACCACAGCAAAGGTCTGCATCATACCCAAGAGGCAAGAGATGCCACAATCCTGTAATACAGTGGGTTTAGGGTTTCAGGGTTTAGAGCTTAAGTAATACCCCTCCCGCTTCTTCTTTGCAAGCTTCCCATAAAAAATCTGTTTCGACTTGAAAGGCGCCAGCAACCTGCCTAAATTCCGACCATCACAGCGTTCATAATCCCCGAATAGAACACAAACCCCATGCCGGCGTTTTGGCAACCATGTCACTTGATACTGGACCCTTCCAATACCTCAGACCCCCAGATACGCAAACCCGCGTCCTCATCCCAAACCACTGCACCCCGGACCCGAAAGCCCAAGCAAAAAAAAACAAAACCCTAGCCCGCCATTCCTATTTAAACCTAGAAACAAACTGGAGAGCCCTTTGCAACAGGCTTTCTGAGTCCGCCACGCAAACTGGAAAGCCTAAAGCCCAACCCTGGACCTCAAACCGTCAACTTTCTGGTCTTGGTAAGAAATAAGCAACATCATCCCTACATAATCCCTATACACTATATAAATTATTCCCGGAATCCCCAAAAACAACTGTTTAGTACACCCTCGAACCTGAACCCCACACCTCCACACCTTGGCATACAGTGGTTGCTTGTAGGAAATGGAGGAATGGATCCCTGAAGTAGCCCTTATGCAATATACCCAACAACACATAGTTTCCATTCTCTTCCATTCCGTGAACCCTGAAGGCCCTCAAGTCTGGCTGCACTTCCATTTTCTTTTACATTTCATTTCCTACCAGCGGCCCGCATGCCCGAAGCCAAAGAAACCGATGGGCTAGTAGACCTGCTGCTTCGCAATATCCTACTCTTACTTGGATCCTAACAATGAACTGTTTGCTATGATTGGTCTGTCCGATAGCGGGGTCCCTCTAGATCTATCTGACTAAGGCACCAGATCGATGGGAGCACCGATCTCCTTGGCGTAGGTGAAGAGCTCGTCCTCACACAGCGTGGGCATACCCGGTCCACTGGGAGGATCTAAAATTAGATCCCCGGTAGAGACCCAGAATAAGCTTCACATATTTCCTATATAACTAGATCGTTTGGGGGGGTCTGGGTAGGGCTCAGGACATGAAGAGGGTGTCGGATCCAAGGTTCAGGATGTAAGGCCTCATGCTGCAGGATTTGTACTGTAGGGCGGAGGGCTGAGGTTCATGAAGTAGGATCAAAAAGCTTGTGGTATAGGGTGCACTTGGGAGGATTGTCAGCAAAAGAGTTATCATAACATATGCTGTGAGTTCATAGGACGCCTGAAAACGCAGGACTTGTGCGAACATGCTAGGAGACATGAGACCACTGAAACATCAGGGACTGATCTTTGCAAGGCCTGAAGAAACACGAGCTACAATTTGGATACAGTGTGGAATTCAAAAATTCTGACTAATAGGGGGCTCATAACTGAGGTCTACGTACAATGAGAAAGAGGTTACAATGACTCCGAGTCTCCAAAGACACTTTGAAACTACGTGGGCACATTACGACACGTTAGTGTATTAGAGAAGGTAGGATATGGTAGCCTCCCAAAATAGGGGGACCCCAATATACTATAGTCCTTATCATTGGGACCCCACAGAGGTACCCCTAATTTTGGGAAACCCCTAAACCCTAAACCCTATATAAACCCTATATAAGCCCCAGAGTAGTCCCCTATAAAATCCCCTATATAACCCCATATCAGCCCTAGACTTTGAGAGCGGGGTCCTCGTCCATCATCTGCACCATTCGCATCTCCTTATGCAGAGTACGGATGTGCCTCACGGCCTCGACGACATCGCCGGTTCCAGCCTCCACTGAATGACAGAGCCAGGAGCACACACACACACACACACACACACATGGAACATGGTTTGAGGTTTGGGGGTTTAGCTTTGAATTTAAGCAGGGGCACTCAAAAAGTCAAAACTCAACCACACAAACACGCAACATGCAACAAGAGCAGCTATCATCCAGCTTAGGCCTTTTAGGTGCCCATGCCCTGGAACAGCAGCAACCGCCGCCCTGTCAGAACAGCCGCTATGATGGCAGGATGGCAGCAGCAGCAGCAGCAGCAGCAACCGCAGCAGTGGTCGCGCAGCAGAAGCATGAACCCTCCATCAACGGATGAAGAAATCACAAAGGCAAGAAAAACAGAAGATTAGCAACTAAGCCTCAGGACAACTAACAAAAAATCAGAAAAGAATTGGCGCGGATGGTCCAGACGTCACAAGCCATCACCATCATCACCAGCAACATCATCAACATTACCATCATGATGGAAACAGTCAGAGTCTTCTGCAATAAGAATACTATGAAACCCTGCAATCAATCAATCAATCAATCAATCAATCAGCAACCCTCAGGCTAAGCAGGAAAGAACTCACGTAGCAACGAGCCTATAACCCGCAGTTCCTAATAGTCAGCTTTGTAGAGAGAATCAATGAATGGCGTGGGTTTGCGGCGGTTAGCTGAGATATTCTCACAGGTTACAGCCCAAACCTTAGACATCCCTTTTAGCACCAGGCTTGTCAGGTAAACATCTCTAAACCCTTTATCTAGATAATCCCCTTTAGGTAGATAGAATATGGGGTATATGGGGATCTTACTATAATACGCCCAAAGCCATATTCTATCTACTTAAGGGGTACCCTAAACCCTAAACCCTAAATAGTAGTTTCCATTTTCTTTTCCATTATCCATATATATAACCCAATAATATACACCTATATAACCCTATAGTTTCCATTTTCTTTTCCATTATCCCTATATAAACCCAATAATATACCCTAATATTCTATCTACTTAATACCCAAAGCCATATTCTATCTACTTAAGGGGGGCTATAACCCCCGGGCCGCCTCGCCCTTCGTGCGGATCATGCTGGCGCCCTCGGCCACACGGCGCAAGGCCTCGCCAAGGTTGCGGCAGCCGCACACGAAGGGCACCTGAAGACCCCAGAGAGCCCAATGCCCTTTCAGTAAGGTATATCCCAAGGAATATATAGGGTTCCTGTAGGGATTATGTCGGTTTTATAGGGGGTATATGATGAATATACACATGGCACTAGGGCCCCGAATATGGATTAGGCTATATTCCTTAATTAAGGAGTATTGGGCTCCCTCGGACTAGAGTTTCAGGTTGAGGGTTCAGGGTTTGAGGGGTTTGGGCGCTTGGAGATTGGGGATTTGGGGTTGGGGTGCTTGAGTTTCAGGATTTCAGGTTTCGGGTTGAGGGCTGTGTATATGGGAACTGACAGCACAACAGGACGTAACGTCGGCTTTTCCGTCATCTGGGAAGAATGTTCAAGGGCTTGCAAGTATGAACCTGTAGCATTGTGGGTTCTTGCTTCACGCGTGGGAGCCCGCGCATTTTGGAATTTAAGTTCAGACTTTACTGCCTACGGCGGCGGGATGATGTGTGAATAACTGTTCAAATGTTGGGTGCGCCTATATAAGGATTACAAGTAAGATGCTCTGGGATCCATATCGGGCCCCTGTTTATGAAAGCCCGGCAACACAAACTAGCTTACTTGGAGATGCACTCCAAAACCGCAATCCCAAACACTTAACTGTGGGATCGACAAGCTGCTTGACATGAGCTACCCGCGCTTCAATACTGCCCCAACGAGACTACTAGGCTTTCTGGTGCTTTCTGGGCATCCTGCAAGGCTTGAAGCTTGAGCTCTGCAGGTCTGGGCGGTCAGCCGCAGATCCGCAGTCTCAAACCTCTCCCCCGAAACCCGAAAGCGTCTTCTACGGCAACTCTAGCGCCCACAGCGCTCAGGAATCTTTACGGCGTAGTACAGAACAAGAAGCAGAGCCGTGAAAAGGTTTGAATGTTACCCTGACCATCGATTCCACTACTCAAACGTGCGGAAGCCTTGAACTTGGTCTTGTTCACGTGGTTTCCTTCATCCGCGACGGTCAGGACCTCGCTCTCATCGATGCAGTCCACACCGATCTGCTGCAGGACCTGGCATCAGAGTTTTGGCGACCTTTCGGGCTGCAGGAAGCGAACACGCTTTTCAAACCCACGACCGAATTAAATTTAGAGCGTGACGTTGAGGATGTCTACTGACAGGCTCAGGGCTTCAACTCTGGGGCTCTAGGGCTCCGAATCAGGTTTCACCCAGCTGGCGACGGTGATGAACAGCGAAGCTCATCGTGCCATCGCAAAGCGCCCTGAACTCCGCACTCCCCTCGCCCTGAGAATGGCATGCTTTCGAAGATATTCATGCTAGCCGGGCAGGGGATCAGGTCCGGACTCGAGCACAGGGCAGGCCTGCGACTCAACAAAGTGACCAATCCGGCACTTGGCCATTACGGGGATGGACACGGAGTTCACGATCTCCTGCAGGTAGGAAAGAAGCTTCCGTTTGCAGAGGCACAGACACAATCATTGGCGCGTGCTGGTCAATTCCGTTCTTGGGATTGGAACGTTGTGGGTTGTAACCCCCGCTCCCTCAAATATCAAAACCCGCCACCCTCCTAATATTCAATATTCCTTGTACATTATTGTATACCCACAATGCGGATATTTGATATTACGAGGATGGGTGGCTTCAATCTTAGGGTGAGGGGGTATTATGAGCGTGCTGTGCACAACTGGGTGCAGGTGGGTTAGAGCTGCCAACAGGTGTTGCACCTGGGAGTCGAAGCAGAATGCCAGGAAGTGATGTTAAGGGAGTTTTAAATGGGAAGTTACCACCCGTACATCAGGCTTATATTATTATGGCTTATATGAGAACACAGGACTCTGCAGGTAGCATGCCTCTGAGAAAGCATATAATGCCTGAGACTTCACATTTCTTGGGGTACATGAAGCAGTCAAGCCCTCGAAAAACAGCAGCAGCGCCACAAAGGCAACACAAGCCTGCAGTCTTTGAAATCCCGATCTCCTTTGGCCGATCAAAGAAACATCGGCCCAAGTGGGCCGAATAGATCCTGCTGATATGCAACCTCCGGATCCATCTCCTGAAATACCTCCATCCTTCCAGGCAAGCACGCTGACAAGCCCTCAAAACCGTGATTATCCCGCTAATAACCCGCTGCTCATCCCTACAACCCTCGCGCGCAAGTTAGGCCCTTCTACCTGGTGCTGAGTTTGCAAGGAAGGCGTGGATCCCAATTATGGTGCTCATTTACCCCGCATTCCCAGCTAAGCACCAGGGAGTTTTGCTCCTTGATCATCTTTGGGTCCGACATTCGAGCCACTCCCTTGCTCTGTCGGATGTCCTACACGGAAATCAAGAAATCGGACCAAACAGGCGTTCAGCCCTCCATACCATACAGTATCATTGCACGGAAAGATCACATTTGTCATGAGGAAAGAGGGTAGGGCGTCATGAAATCATGCGCCATCATGCGCCTGTCGATGCCCTAGGTTCCTGTAGTCCGTACTTTCCTACCATACAACCTTAAATAACCTGAGCATGTCGGGGCCCACAGGAGAGGCCCATGAATAGGACCGTAGACGCTGTGAGAGATCTAGGGACCATATTGTAGGGCTGCGCGGGTTCAAGAGGGGTTGCAGAGGGTTTGGGGCACTTGAGTATGTCACAGAACTCTCCAAAATGCTTGGGGCCCTGAGTCCGCTGCAAAGGCCCCTGATTGTGAAGATGTGCGGATCATATCTCATCCTATCAGTTGCTCCCGCTTGTTCGCTGGGGCACTGGCGAAAGCTGGGGAGGTCATAATCCCCTCCCAACATCTGACGTCTTATCCTTGCAAAACCCCTGCACTCAAGGAAACCTCGTATCAAGCTCAAAACACCCTGAACAATCCATGCTGGAACAGTAGCTTTCATTTTCTTTTTCATCATCCCTACATAATCCCTTTATAGACCCCTACATAATCCCTACATAACCCCATAAAATCCCTATTTAAAAAAATATATATATATGTATATATTACATATGGACCCAACTTCGAACTCGCCCAAAGCAAGGTGAAGTCACCCCAGACCACCCAATGCATGTGCCCTGGGCGCTACAAAAACTCTTGAGAGTCTAAGGTTTAGGTTAGGGGTTAGGGTTTACGGTTTAGGGTGAGCTGACTATATCATATGAGCCATAGTCTAAGCTCCTAGTATCCCCCTTAATAACCCCTATAGTAATCCCCTGTATAATCCCCAAGAACCCTTCTTAAGCAGTTTAAACTATAGCTCATAATAATTCCCAGGCCCTTCCCGCCCCCTATCACAGGGTCCGCCGGGATCCGCTCCAGGGCCATCACTGCGCAGGCTCCCGCCTCCAACCACAGCCCCAAGACTTGATGGTGATCAAGGAGCAGAGACCATACTGGAAGTTCCCGGAGATAATTTTTAAGAGTCTTGAGAAGCAGCTGTAAATACAATTTCCAAGAATTTCTGCCAGGGTTCCAGGGAGGTTAGAATTAGACTTAGACCATCAACTCTCCAAAGGTGCAGCAGGCAGGCTGTTCTGAGGGTGGCAACGCAAGCAGCACCTAGTCGTCATCAGACTTCAAGATGCAAACCCGTAATCCCAGCAATCCTCTTCCCTAAGCCCCGGCCAGGCCAGAGTTTTTGGATACCAAGCCAAGCCACCCCCTCTTTTGAACCGGACTCCAACCTCGAGCAATTGCCGTCAACCCTGGAAAAACAGGCATATGAAGGGAGTATTCTTGATTTATGTGCATGGCTTACACCGGCAGCGCTGAAACCGCATTCCCCGTCTCTCAAGCCCGAGCCTTCGTCCCTCCCGAACCTTACTGGTGCTGGAGGGAGAGTGGGGGAGTGAATTTGGGGACTTTTATACGGTTGCTTAACAAAATATTACAAAGATCCACTCCCCCACCGTCCTTCCAGTAAATTCCCCAACCGTGTATCATCCGCACAAAACTTGAAGTCATCCGGCAGAGCTATATGGTAGACCGTAAGATGATACAGCCACGAATGAAAGTACTCAGCAGAAACGGTGCACACATTCGCTAAACCCTAAACCCTAAACCCTGAACCCTAAACTCTAAACCGCGCCGAAAGCCCGAAAAAAACACAGCTCGAGCTCGCCTCCTCAGCAATCTTGGCCTGCTCCTTGGGGGCTCCCAAATCGTCACAGACTCTTCAGGTTCGGGGAGGTTCCAAAAATTATGACCAAAAATCCGTCAAAAATTGCAACAATGCGTCCAAAGACAGAAAGAAAGATAAGCCTAATTGTACAAAGGTGTTTTTTGGGGGGGAGGGTCAGGGGACTTAGTAAGCATACGTATCATCAACATAAGCCATATAACAACCCCAGGTATCCCCATACCTACTTACCTAGTCCCCGTGACCTCCAAGTAAAAGCAATCTGTGGGGTTTGAAAATGCCCTCCACTCAGCGAAACGTGGTCCGCAGCCTACAGAGTAAACCTTTTTGAACCCATGCTAGGCCGGTGGCGTTTGATGGGACAAGCTTCCACTGCCATGCTCCACATGGACAGGGAAGAGACTAAAACACAAGGGCGCTTACATGACTAATCCACTCGGAACAAACCCTAAGCCCTAAAACCTATACCTTAGGAGGACCCCTCACCCTGTAATAGTGGTATAATAAGAATATAAGAGGACCCTAATATGATCCTTATTATCCCCTATAGTCACTATTACTGGGTGGGGGGTCCACCTAAGCTATACCTGAGGTTAGACCATGCGCCTACACATTGGCAAACAAAGCTGTGGTGTTTCACAGCCAAGGGCCAACATGGCCCCAGGGTTAGGGTTTAGGGTTTAGGATCCCCCTTAATAATGGAGAATCAAATGGAAAAGAAAATGGAAAATGAAATGGAAACTGGGATTATATGAGGGATTATAGGGGTTCTGTTATAGTATCCTATATAATCCCCTATATAACCCCCTTTTAAGGAGTTTTTTAGTATAGTACGCATGGGTGTACGTGGGCGTATCATGTCAAGAAATTGATGGGTGCCTTTTTCGGAATCGGTAGACTTGTAAAAAAAATGCTGTATGCAAGGAAGCCCGACTGTTGGAAACAACACATGATCAGCTCAGACCCACAAACCTCACAATGAAAGCTACACCTCACCCCGATATCCTCCACAAAAATTAAAGGCCCCTTGAAAGGGAATTCATGGGGGTTATACAGGATTCAAGGTTTCCTTACATTTGGGGGTACCTTTTGTGGGAGCCCTCATAGTAAGGACTATGGTACTATGGGACTATGGGGTGGAAATTGAGGTCCCCCTATTTTGCGAAACCACCATATCCGTGTAATCTTTACACCGGCTCAGAACGCTTCCTTAAAGAACACTAATCAGCCCTAATCCTCATGCAGGAGCCACTCCCTTAAGAAAAATGCAAACCAAAACAAAAAAAAAAAACTTCCATCTGCCATTATCGCACCAATATCTTGAATAACATCCACCGGCCCATTTTTCTGCTGCTGAATCTAATCCACACCTGCCCAAACCCGTTTCACGACAAAGCCCTGAAGTGCCAGCTCGTAGTAATGAACTCGCCCCAGCAGCAATAACCACAACACCAAAACAGGCGTTAACAGCGAGGCCGACGGTCCTTGTTCATGACATCCATGATGACGCCACCCTTGAGCATGGCGGGGAGGCCCTTCCTTGGCAAGGGGCTTAAAGAAGGAGGAGCTCAGCGGCTCCGACTGGCAACTCTTCAAGCTTTTCACTGGGGTTCAGGGTTTAGGGCTTTCAGGGCGGGTGATCGCTCGAAGGCTCACTGTTAAAGTCAAGTCAGTGTCCAGGGACTCAAAGGATTTTGTGCACCCCTTCGGAAACCCAGACTGATGTTTTCAGATTTGGATTCGAAGCCCCAAAGCTTAAGCGACCCTTACCCTGAAACTTTCATCCTCTGACAGGCCAACGCCTGAAAAGCTGAGCCCAAAGGGCTTGGAATACGACACCCCCCCCGCCACACAGAAACAGATCTCAAAAGTCTGCGCTCAGCCTTCTTTCTGTGATTACATACGAAATCTTAAACCCGTGCAGTACCTCCCTGAGCGCTTGTATCGCAAAACCTAATACGTCCTGCACGCTTCAGCCCTGAACCCCCGATCAGATTACACGTCGCCGAGCATCTTCACGCGGTCCGTGCCCTCCGCAACGTTGGTCTTTGCTTCGGCCATGTTTGAGTCCTTTGAGGCTTACTTTTTGAGGTTTAAGCTTTTGGGGTTGAGGTGTCCAGGAGTTCCGCTCAAACACCTCCAGAATTGATTTCTAGAAAATAAGTGCCCTATTATGGGAGCCTCTACAAAAAGTACAGCATATTGGAGTCTATATTGGGCCCCGCGTATTTATGCACATCTCCATATTCTTACAGAGGGGCACGTTGAAGGCCGCC